CCGTCATGTTGAAAGACTAACTTTTGCCTCAGTATTTCTTGCATATTGTTCAAAATAATGGATAAATGTATTTCTAGAAACCTCAAATAAGTTGCTGCATTAACAGTCTCCTCGAAAAAATAAAGCAATCACTCTTCTGTTACGAATTCCGTACCCGACCATCACGGCATTTCTGTATTGGTTGTTACTTTCTTGAACCCAGTGCGGATTATCTTTCGCCCATATTCGATAATCTTTTAAAGTGATTTCAGAGGTGTATTATGAATGATGGCGGTCATGTTGAAGAATAAGATAAGAGAATTTTAAATTCATTTAATGGAAGCTTAATAATGGGTAATGAAAATAAAAATCGATCAATAAAGAAAAGTCTCAAATTTTAAATATTTGATTCAACAATAACAATGTGTTATCAATCCATTTATTGAAACTGAAATTGAGTCTTAATTTGGCAGAACAACGATTTGGCACGGGATGAAATCAAAATAACGTGTCAACCAAGATGTAGACATACCGTCCGCCTCCGACTGTTGCGAACTTCATCGTTCTTAATTTAGGACTAACTAGAAGAAATGATACAACATTGTAGGTCATTTTATTCATATTGAAACCAGCTGTCGTAATACGAATAAGAAAATGTATGGCCTTGATTTAAAAAAATCAAGTTGTCCTTGAAATATCCTCCACCATTATATGAATGAAAAAATTGTTAATACTATGTAAGAAACTTTTTTATATTGAACAGCTTTTGTATAAACATTTTTTTGTAGCTTCAATCCATTCCGAGATATTTCACTATACTCAGTTAGACAAAACACTCGTATATGCAAAATGGATGGCAAATTAATGATTGAAAGAAATATTTGTCATCTTTTTGTCAAATATACAAATATATAAAATGAGTAATGTTTTTGCAATACGTGTCATTTTTATGATACTTCAAGACTTCACTGACATTACGGAACTACATATTTTGTATCAACACACTTTTTTATTCTGTATAAAAATCTGTATTAAATTATTAGGTCAAAAATAGTTTTTAGGTAGATATTTGAATATTTGCAAAAGTTTCTGTTGTTTCTTTCTCGTATTTATTTGTTCCGTACTCATCATTAAAGCAATTTTCGAAAGTAATTGCTCTCATTTTCAGGCATTCCTTTACTTTTTAGGCAGTCGCATAATTCCCCTTCGGTAAAATTCCGCGTTCTTCGAACTGATGCACCCAACTAACCATTTTTGCATCTCAGTTTCAGTCCTCAATTTTTAACCTAATAATCGTCAGTTGGATCGAAACAAATAGTAATCTGAAGATGCGACGCCTGGAGATATTGGGTGCGTGGGACACTTTCTACTGAAGTTCCTTTAGTTTTTTGCTTGTCATGAAAGCTGTGTACGATTATCATGCGTTGTCATGAAAGAGGATGACTGGTCAATGGCCTCTACCATTAAATGACCGTTTTTGTTGAATATTATCCTTTAGATTTTAAATAATCTAGTTGCTGACAATAACGTTCAATAACGTCGACTGTTTCACGTGGTTTCTACAATTCGTAAAAGAGGATTCCTCCACCATTACAAAAAATGGAAATAAGAACTTTATGATTATGAAACTCTCTTTTCTCGCTGCAACCAGCAACTCCTGTTTTTTTCTTTCAAAATTGTCATATCATATTTATTTTTCATTCCTCAAAAGGATTTCTGCTCCTGCCTCGACAGCAAAGCAGTACACATGTCAGCTCGTCATTCATGATTTGCATTGCTTAGGCGGTAGGAGACGCCGTCTTTTTAAATTTTATCGAGTGCATGTATATGTCAATTCACTGTTGATTAATCAATGTTTCAGATTTGTGCTACATCTATGGCCGTCAATGTAGGATCATCAGCCTATAATCTCAATATTGTCGCTTTTCAATTTTTAAGGCCTACCGAAACGTAGCTTATCGTTAATATCGAAATCACTGCTTTTGAACCACTGAAACTGATTGCGGCAAGACTTTCCACTAAAACACCTTCATCTTATGTTTCGCATATTATTCTTGCTGTCTCAGTTGCAGATTTTCATCGATGAAAATAATGCAGCATAACATGTCGAATGTATTTTCGACTTCCATTTTTAAGCTGACGAAAACACGCACTAAATTGTTAGCAGACAATTGTTGCTTCATGGCTGACAGCAGTACTGTCGAGTGATGCAATGGCACAACGGTGCGAAATGATGGAAAAAAGTTACCGATCTTTATTTCTTCACGATCTAAAAGTAACAACGGCAACTTTTGCAAATACCTAATGTATATATTTGTACAGAAAATTTAAAAAATGTATCGAATAGTCGTTAAAAATGATCTTGAGCGAAAGTTTAATCTACCGTAACATGTGCAGCTTTACATAGTCCAATTTTATCTCAGATCTTTTTTTTTATAAAATCACAAATGATTATAGATATGAAATAGATATTTCCTTTTAAATGTCGCGTTCTATGAATATCCACATAATTGTGTGAAAAATATTTTAGTTTGTTTGATCTTTATTAATATAATAATTTTATCAATAATATATTATTATTTTAATAATATATGTGCATTATTATCAAAATTTAGCACGATAATTTTTGATATTATTGTTAAAGAAACTCTTGTATTTACCTATAACTTTGTAAACAAATAAATTAAAGATAATATAGTCCTTAAATAAAAAGAAATTGTTGTACAATTAAATTTGGAGATATAAATATCTTTTTATTTATAAATCTGTAAGTAAATTGTATTCATTCAAAAATATGCAAGCTTTTACATATTTTAAGTAGTATGTTAATAATTTATGGTTTCTTCAGCTTTTTGATTACAGTTTTTTTTCACTATCTATTATTTTTTTCACTATCCTTTTCACGTCTTCGCATTACATATGATTTAAATTCTTACTACCTTATCAACTATGTATCTTATAATTAGAATCTTCTTTCAAACTAAGGTAATATAATTATTTTATATGAATTGAGGAAGTTTACGTACATGATCTGAGAAATTTTCAGATGACATTCAAATAGGATGAACTGTGTGATAACGGAAATGCTGAGGCGGATATTGAGATATATGATTTAATTGCACAGAATACTATAATAATAAATAATAATGGGAATACTGAGGTGGATATTGATTATTGGATATAATAATACAAAAAATTTAAATAAATTGTTATAAACAGATTATTTTATACGTATTTAGTAAGAATTTGAGCAATTAAAAGTAATTTGCTAAATTGTAATTTAAAAAATGAGTAATTCTACAGAAAAGATATACATCGATTTCAATGATTTTCAAGTATGTTATAAAGGATAATATTTTAAGCAACTTTTTTTCTATACATACATACAGTACATATTGCTTAGTTCTTTTTTCTTTATTTACAAAAAATATTTGGTAAGTAAGGCAATTTATTAAAAAACTTAATTGGGAGATCTCGAGAAAGTAATGGAGTTTTATTTATTAAGTAAAAATGAATTATATATAAACAAAAGATGACTTTTATAAGCTTACATATTTCACGAATCCTACAAATGTTAATTATGATAAATATTTTGAAAATATATAGGCCATACCTCAGAAAATATACTTTACTTAACCTAATCTAACTTTCCTAACATACACACTTTGTAAAAGTTAATCCATCTTAATTTAATTATTCTACCTTCATATTAGTAGAATAATTAGATTAATTATATTTTGTAGAAGTGGAAAAAAGAGGCTTCACTCACGTGTTTAAATTTTGAACTTTCCCAAGCGCAATAGTTTTTCATAAATTAAAAAACACTATGGTTTTATTTATTTTTAATAAAAGTTATGTTATTAATTATATTATTATTAAGTTAGTCAGTTTTTTAACTGATCTCTCGTTGAAACTGAAATATTCTTATTGAAATGAAATTTTGAAAGAAATATTGTAGTTAAAATATAACTCAAAAAAATACAAAAAATATTTTTAAGAGTATCTCAAAAGCTAAAAATGTAGAAAAAGTTTTATAATTAAATTTTATATAATTTTATAATATTATAACATAAATGCTATATTTAGAATATTATCTTTGTTAGTTAAATTATTTAGAATTTCGAAGGTTATATGTGTGAATAATTTTCGAAAACCATTGAAATCGGAGAAGTGTATATTCTACCATATAATTATTGAAAAATAAAATTTTTTCTTTTAAATGTAATATAATTATTACAGACAGTTAGTGTACAATTCACTTTTAAGATTTATCTTATTTAATCTCTCGATATTTAATTACGGAAAAGCTTCAATCTGATATTCTAGGGATTTAGACAGTGAACCCTTGCATCAGGTCTTATGGTTATAAATTAGTTTTAAGAATAACCTGTGATCTAAGGAGTTGAAGTTTACACATATAAATGTAATTTATGATTAATTTTTAGTGATCCTGAAATTATAGAATTCAGAAAATTTACAATAGGTAATCTAATCGCACAATTAATTTGAAATGTACAACTGAGATTATTTTATATAAAAGAATAAGTTACAAAATTTGGTATTAAATATTTGTGTAGTGTATAAATTTTCAAATGTTTGTTTTTACCAATGATTGCATAAAAGCAGAAACATTCCAAATTTTTTGAAGCTTTAGTAACAAAAATTAGGCTTAATCATAAATGATTCATTATGGACTGTGAAAATGCCTGCTTAAGGAAGAAGAGGTTAATTGAAATATATTATATAAATAAAAATTTTGTTTATCTTTAAGTTTTTGGTCTTTGGCTAATAGATGTAATACCGGCAGTAGTTAATATGATAACAGCATATTCTCACAAATAAAATGAAGGTGAATCATTCTGTTTAATATTTTGGTTATAAGAAGAAACAAGATCATTAAATACTTCTTGATAACATCTTGATATTATGATATATAATATTGATGCAATATAAAATATTTTAATAATCTATTTCTAATGAATGACTCAAATTTAAAAGCAGATTCATTTTGCTCAGATTCATCTCATCAATCTTTTCTCTATAAATACTTGAAATCCACTCCACTATTAATGAAAATCTTGAATAATAGCGCGCCAGCCGCACGAGCTTAAGTTTTTGTTGCATAGATATGCAACCGCTGGGTAAAGGGAGCCTTTCAGATGGATCCGTGCTCAGAGCTGAGCCGTGGTGCTCATTAGTAGGGATAGTGCATGTTGTGTTCGACGTGTGTTGTAATGGGAGGGCACCGGGGGTTCAGTCTCTGATGATCCAGGTGGCAAAGAAGGCGAGCGTACTGAAGAGACGAAAGTCAAGGAATCGGATGGACGTTCAGCAACAGCAACAGCAACAGCAACAGCAACAGCCACTTCCACCAGTTACAATATCTGGTGGCATGTCTAGTGGGAGCACTACTGGTGATATTGGGCTTCAGAACGAGAATCAACGAACGGAAAATGAGAGTGATGTTATCTTTTACATGGAAGAACCAAAAGCTAGTACACCTAATCGTGCTAGACGCGATAACCGGTGAGTTGAATCGATTTTTCTTCTTCACTGCTCAGCAAAAATATTGAATCATGTTGGAGACTATAAAATAATTCTTGATTTTAATAAACTTGATATATTTGTTTTTTTCTCATAAAAAAGTGGAAAAGTTAATATATCAAGTTGTCACCAACTGCATTTAAGTCGCATTGGTCACTGCATTTAAACAGTTACTTCTTTGGAATTATTTTCTAATAATATTTATATAACATACAAATTTATTTTGAATTATTTCTTGATATAAGAAGTTTAAAGATTTAAAAAATTTTAATTTTTGAAGTTTTTATCTTAAATTTTTAATTTTGCAAAAAATGTTTTTTTCTTCATATTCAAGTTCTTTATTAATATTATTATATTTTATTACAAATTTTTCTAATACGTGTATTATATTTATTAGAAATTAGTATAATTAGTATAGTAATTTTATATCTTAAATTAAGAGTTTTTATTTGAATGAAGAACTGAATTGAACTATTTTATTTATCCAATTAATTAGTTCAAGTACGTATCAGATTTTTTATAATTAATTTATTTGATTGAAAAACTATTACATCACTTAATTGACTAAATTGTGTAATGTAAGCAAAAAATTATTAAATAATATGTTTTCGTAGAAGTTGAATTTGAAACAACATATTGTTTCAAAATTTATGATATTTATAAGGTAATTTTTAATTGCATATTGCAACTATACTTGGCAACTATAATTTGGTAACTAATACTTGGCAACTAAAAATTCTTCAGCGATTTAATAACCTGAAAATATGTTATTGTCAAGATCATCATTCTGTATAGTTTGACTACTTTAAAAAATATTGTATAATTATTGTATTTTGAGGTTTTTGTTATTTTGAGTAAATTTCCGTATAGGATCTAATTTTAGCAATAAGTTAAAATTATTTTCTTTTATTGGACTTTGAGTAAGACCGAAAAGTTACTTGAAAGTAACAAAAGTAACAAAAAATATAATGAATAAGAAAATTGGTATGCTTTTTTTTCAATTTTTCATATAAATCGCAAATATTTTAGTACTTAAAGCATTTATCATAGAGCTGTAGTTTATATATTTAAATCAGTCGTAACTTTTCAAAAGTGTTAAAGCAATTTTCTTTACATATTTTAGCATTAATATTCCACTTTTTCCTTTATAAATCATTGATATACTTTGTTAATTTATAATAATCGAATATATTTAATATAGTCGAACTGCTTGGAATCAAAGTAGTCGAATTATACTAAAATCATGGCATCTTATTTACATAAAGTAAAAATGAATAAGCTACATTGATCTTTTATGCACATTATATCCACCAATATTGAAATAATGTAAATAAACTTATTTATCTTTCAAATACCACTAAAATTGTAGCGTGAACAAAAGATTTTCAGACTTTTTAAAAGTTTCAAACATATTTGAATTTCAAACATCAGTTATAACTTAAATACGTTTTCGTAATAATTATTGATGCGAGATCTACAACAAAGTGATTTATTTCTTTTATTCTAGTGAGATATTGCTTGTTTAATGAGATTCCAATGAAATCCTGCTTATTTTAATTTTAAAATATATTTACACTGGCTGATTTTTCCAAATGATCGAACTATCCCGAACTTACCTTACATATTTCCGCCTCTCGGTTTTAATTTTCAAGATGTGCTCAAAAATCTATTGGCGAAGATCCCAAAAAACGTGTCATTTTCGATTTAGCTGATAGTTTTACTTTATATGATAACAATGTTTATGAGAAAAACTTTTGGCAGTTCGAAAGATAAGACAAAATTTTCCGAAAAAATTTGGAAATAAAAGCAAAGCAATTATATGAAATAGACGGAATATAAACGATAATTAGTTTAAGCTTTACGGCAAGCCTAACCTAAACTATAAAACACAATATATAATATTGAAAATATTTTTGGGTATATCAAGGTTAACTATGTAGAAGCCCTAGAATTTTTGTCATTTAAATCTAATCTATAAATATTTAAAGTTCAAGATAATGGTGAAAAAATATCATACAAATGTTAAGAAGATTTCAATATTCAAGAACATGGGGATTCTTATTTACAAAAAGAATTTTTTAGCGTTTTTAAAGACGTTTGAATTTTTAAGAACAAAAATATCTTCACTATTTATTACCATTTACTATTTGATAAAAATATTTTCAAGAAAATGAACTTAACAATATCAAAATATAGTTTATCAACTTTAATATGAGATCAATTAAATTGTTGTATATTTTTTCTTCACAAAATTATAACAGTTTAAACTATCATCTAAAATTACACTTATTTTACACTTTGGCCGCTATTACATACTCGTTATTATTATACTCTGCTGCATCATTGAATTATTGCAATCCATTGCAGGGAATTTCAATTTTTGAAATGAAATGAAATAATATATTAATTTTTTTGTTATTTTAACAATTGTTATAAATATGAAACCTGACTTTTATTTGAAACATTTTTGTTTATTCTGCACAGTTAAAAAGTTATAACGTTAAATATTTTATTCAAGAATAAATTTTAAAAAAGTATTTTTCATTCACTTCTAAGTATTATTTATTTATTTCTTCTATGTTGAAAAGTTTGTCTCAAATATTCTAATTTTAAAAAATTTTCAAAGAGAAATATCGATAATACTCAGCGACTTTCGCCAGTCGGAAATGTTATCATCATTCGGAAACATTTCACAAAAATAAATGATTTTTAATGAACAAATCGAAACCTAAGGAAGGAAATATGTCATACTAAAGTTATACATACATTCTCGAATATTCCATTACATATTCAAGAATCATTGAAATTATTATTTTTCCCACCTGATACGTACTGCAAAAACATTTTAAAATAGAATGAAAATAGAGACTTTACGCCAAAATAAGCCCAGAGTAATTTTTGTACAATTTTTTTTTAAAATTATAACAGTTTAAATATTAATAATTTTTTGGACATCAGAAATTTATAAGCGATTAATCCGCGATTATATAAATCAAGCGATTATAATAATTCATAAGCTATTGTATCAAAAAAAAAAATTGTTCAGAATGAACATATTTCAAAGTCATTAAAATCTGTCAGTCAGACAATTTAAATATTGATAATTTTTTTTAGATACAATGAGCTAGAACAGTATTTATTCGCGTGCGGTTTAGGCGGAACGAAGTTGGAATTTGATTGGTAGTGGATTGTGAGTTATCAAAGGTTTTCTCTTCGATAGTATGATTGATTGCGAGAGGTAAGGTATTTTGCTTGACAGTCGGACGTATTCTCACTTGAAACTTTCTTGTTTCTCTTTCTATCTGCTTTGGAAAGCTTTTTTGGCTCCAAGATGGAGCAAATAGCTTACAGATGTTGACTGTTGCTTAGATTCGACTTCGTTTAGTCATTTTGTCCGGGAATTTTCTATGCGAGGATGTCATTTAGTTTATGGCGCGTAGCGATTGTTTGCTATTGAGATTTGGTGGTCTTTAAGTGACCTGAGTCTCTAGCTTTAACTCGCCAGCAAACACTTGGTTATCCGGCTGATCTTTGTATAGAAATATACCGGTCCTCGACCGTAATCAAATAAATCAAGGTACTCCTTTTCCCGAACAATGTTGCATACGTATTGTTTTTACAATATCTTTACGAAAACAAATGATGTATTAATATAATCTGTTTCTATAAATAGTTTACCATGTACAGAAATAATGTTCACAATTTCCAGTAATGAATCATATTGCACAATAATAATATAAGAAATACAAAAATTGGAGAGTCAAAAACTGTTGACACACCTGTAAGTCATATAATATAATGCTCAATCTACATGTAATGATGGAATGTTATTAGAAACACAAATCTTTTTGTATGTACTAGAATATTATTGAATGATATTGTATCAACATCAGGAAAGGATGTTTGTCTCCATTAGAAATATTTTAAAGATGTGCAAGAAATATACATCTATATTTTTACAATTTATATTTTATATAATTATATAGGCCGGCGTTTATACAAAAACGCTGCAGCTTGTCCGACTCGTTCGATATCGAATAGCTCGAATTGATTTCTTCTTTTTTTTTCCTTTTCTTGACTGGTTATTCTAGCTGCAGTTCTTGGGGTGCAGTATCCCTGCATTTAAATTGGAGAATTGAGAATTTATTATACGTTGTTGGTTTCTTTTCTTTCTGTTTGCGTGTGTGTTGCAGGAAAAAAGTTGCAAAAACCTGCAAAAACCTGCAGTGCTTGAGTGCGATCGTGATGTAGAGTGTCGATGTGTAGCTGATCTGTTGCGTTATTGCGTGCTTTGGAAGTTTTGTCTTGACTTTTAAGTGGAATATTTGCGATTTAATAATTTTCTGTTTTTTATGAGTGGATGACTAGTGTTGTATGCCTTGCTGAGTGAGTTCTGTGAGTTTTTGATGGTTGGTAAGTTTGCTATTTTGTGTAGAGTATTTTGTGTTTAATGGGGGTATCGTATGGTTTGTTTAGGATGATGCGCAAGAACTTGTTTTGGATCTTTTGTATCTTGTTTATATTATATATGTATTTGCGGCGGATGCTCAAATTTGATGTTCGTACAAGATAATAGGTCTAACGTGTATGTTATATAAGTTTAGTTTTAGGTTTGTTTTTAATTTACTGTTTTCGGATAAGAGCCTATGCAGAGCTGGATAAGCTAGATTCGCTCTTTTGGTTGTGGCAGCTGTCCACGTGATTTTGGAGTTGAGAATGTATTTGATGGTATGAGTCCAAGGAATATCGTGGTTGGCAATTTTGATAGTTTTAAGCGATAAATTTCTTTTAGATGTGAAAGTGATAGCTTGTGTTTTGGTGGGGTTAATTTTTAATTTCCAGTCTGTGAGGTAGTTTTACAGTAGGTCTATGTGATTCTGTAAATATGTTATGGCTTGTGTGGGGCTCCAGAATGATGCGTAGATTGCAGTGAATATAGCGGTGAATATAGCTGTGTGGATGTATGTAGATGTGGTAGGTCA